TTAGCCGGTCCAGGTGGGTGTCACGATCGGGCGACAAAGAGAAGCTGCAACTACGGCAGGTCAATAGTCCTTGCTGGTGGCTTTCAGAGATGGTCAGAAGGCAGGGTTCTAGTGTATCGAAAGGACACTGGGGCGGAAGCTAGCACCTCCGAGATCAGGACAACGAGGTAAGCAGACCACTAGGATCTACTTGCTGAGCTGCATGCGAAAATCCATGGCATCGCATGACCACCAAAAAGGATCACCATCACAATCGCCCAGACACAGATGTCAGGGCTCGTAGCGCTGTGTTGCCACTGGACACCTCACCTCCTGCCAAAACAACTATCGGTGCGGCACGTGTGGTTAAGGACAAGCTGAAGGGGTACATCTCCGCCATGCACCAATTTGCTCGCGCGAGTTGGGTCCACAGCTCGCTGAGAAATGATGCCGAGGTGCGGCTAGCTTCCATGCACTGACCCGGCAGAGGGCGACCTGTGGTGAAACACGTTCAGCTGTGTGTGAATCGGCACAGAAGAAAGCCTTCAACACAATACTGTGCTAGTGAAGACTGGCACCAGCGAGAGTGTGTCTCAGGCTGGGCCAAAGACAACGACACAAATGAGTGAAGACACTAATCTTCGGGTGTGAAGGCGTGTTGTGTGCATGTATACACAAAGATCACAAAGGCTGGCAGCAAGCAGCCGAATGATCCGTGAGGTACTGGCTCTCTCGTCAGAGAGGCTCAGAAGAATCAGCTGTTTTGCGCCGACTATCAGCACAGCCTCCTTCACAAACACCGTAAAGGGCGTTCAACTACCAAAGAATCGCGTTGTAGTGGAGGAGGGCACTAGGTGTAATCACCCGCCGCTAGTTAATATTTAACAGGCGCCTGCGTTAATATGAGAGTAGGTAATTACCAGAATTACAGAAAACTAAAATGGTAGTAGTAAGCAGCCAAACCGTCCGAATAACGTGGGGGGTTCTTTCCCCAGATGTTTGTTGGGAAGAACACCGGGGTGGATAGCTGCTTAGAATACAGGACGTGCGCATGTAGGAAAAGATCTAGACACGTGAGTAGAACAGTGATCTCTTGGTAAAAGAGCTCGATTCTTCAATATTACATGGTTAACCCTACACCTTAGTGACAGCTAAGCCGCTGGCAGACTGAGATGGTCTTGCACATACGCACGCGAAATAAGATGACGTACAGCGCGACTCGGCATTGTATAAATACGACTGCTTCGAAAGAGCGACAAGGGTAGGCTCGTCTGTTGTGTCGTTCTTCCCTCGCTGTGTACGCCGCTACTAGCATAACCGACGGAGTTGAAAAGGAAAAAAACAGACGGACTGAAAAAGAACTGGACTGACCGAAATCAACTCAGAGACTCGACGACGGACACGACGCGGAGAAAATATTATTATGGATTTTTGTAAACAACATTTATCTGCAACTCTCGAGCCACGATTGTACTGTGTGGCGGACAAATAGAATTCACTGATGCGTGGAAAACTTCACGCCATCGAGTTGTGTTTTGATCATTGAATGTTACTCCGCTACGAAAACACGCCGCGCGCTGCATCAAAACCACAGAACATTACCTGACATCCTCCTCAAGCTTCAATCCGCAAGCACGATACAAGCTGAACAATTTAATAACGACAAACGCAAAGGCAAGAATATAAAAAAACAAATATCTAACGCTAAACGATCACGTGGGGCCTACATAACAGTCGGACATACTCGCGACGTATCAACACTGACTAGAGACAAGTAATCAGCTAAATTACACCTGGATGCCAGACAGGACTTGCCAACACCCACCGAGCAACATGGCTGGAGCATGCTCAAGATGGTGGCTCTGCCAACCTGTGCTGATGACAAAGGAGCCAGCACCACGTGCAAACTGGTAAGATGCTTACGGCCATGTCGCTGTAAGAAGTCAGGCTGTCGTCCGTGCAGTTATTGGAATCCCTGTATGGACAAATGGACTTGCATGCGCTGAAAGCCTGTGTTTGCGATGGCCGATGAACAGCTGCCAGACACCAAACTAACCCATGCACAAAACGCACGTAGATGTCATAATGTGGATGAGCGAAGACTGATTGAAGATGATTACCATTTAAAGGGAACGGGTAAAGGCGCGCACATAAGGAAGTGTCAGTTTCATGACTTCTAACCAGTTAGCTGTTGACTATGATATATGACGATGCACTATAAAATTGGAAATTGTAATGTATAAATTATAGAACACGTAGCAGCTTAAACAGACTCAAAACAAGAGGTGATGCACAATCTAAATAAGTGCTGTCAAATACCCGCCCTTGTAGCGTCCCTCCCCCCCACCCCCCCCTCGCGCCCCACTTTCAGTGCTGATGAACCTTATAACATTTCATAATAGCTGAAACGTAAAATTTGTTCACTTATTTTGCATTTCACTATTCATTCGCTCATGGGTTTAGAGCCGCTTCAAGATTGAATAGTTATATTTATGGAACTCCTTATTAACTCCTATGTAAAATAAACATAAGCAAAACATCATGTAGCAACATTTTATTATATATTTGGCAATGCGTACTGCCAGTTTAAGGAAAAAAGCCCAGTCACGTGACCCTTTTGACACTGTAGTGACGGGCTGTAGTGACCTTGCTTAAGTGAGCGACGTTCTGTCACACAGTAGAATTAAACATTTTTTTTTATGGTAGCAATTTCTAAACAACGGGACACCGGCATTGGTACAAAAAACGCATGTAACAAATTGGTTGATTCTATTAACAAAGATATGAGTTGTTATGCTATTTATACCCGTACATTTTTAACACGGGTGTCGTGTCACTCCCACCCTTCGTCTATAAAATGGCGCCCCTCTAGCAGCAAAACTGATAACCGCGACACAATTTGAGACTAGCAATACTAACCCTGGGGGTGTTTCAGGGGTCTATTCGACATCCTGTCAAATCAAACCTTAGAATGTAGTGATGTTTGAACGAAACACACAGAACAAGGAAAAATGTCAGAGAGTTCTGTAGCAGGACTCCGTACTGGGTATCATATTGTTGACCTATATACACTTTACATCTGTACTTCCTGATGGTATTCCGAACAAAGGATATGTATTCCTCTGCTAGTCTAGAGCCCTTTCGTTGAAGTAATACTCCATCGATGTAAGGCAAGAGGTATCTTGCCGTAAATGCCAATAAGAACCCTCCAGCAACTTTTCGCCACCAAGTTGTTGAAATGTTCAAAGACTGTCATCGTGAAGTTGATTGACAATGTATGCTTTAGCTTTCTTTCACCAGGATGAATGGTACAACACAAAGTCACCGCTCAAAGGAAGATCCTCCGTGTATACCCTGGTGTGGGCAGATTGTTTACTCAGCTGTCTTTGCATACTAGCGAGAAAAGCGACCGGTTCCCTCGATCACTGCTGTACGTTAAATGAATGGTAGCATCATATCGCGACCACCAACGTATCATTCCGCAAATGACGGCGATACACGATCGCCAAAGCCTCAGGCCACATCTCAGTGCTCGTGGTAAACAGAAGTAGATGACACGACGAGTTTCATATACG